TACCACCACCACCACAATTACTACTACTACCACCATCACCACAATTACTACTACCACCATCACCACAATTACTACTACCACCACCACTACAACAATTACTACTACTACCACCATCAACACAATTACTACCACCACCACCACCCCTCCCTTGGGACTGTCGTTTCACCACCATCCCATTATAGTACGTAATCAGCGCAGTTAGTGGACATTGTCTTATCGGGTACTACAGCCATGGATTTCCTTTCTTAAGCCCCGCCCCGCCCCGCCCCGTGCCGTGCCGTGCCACCCCGCCCCGCCCCACTACACCACATTACCACACCATCACAACACCACCACACTACTGCAGTACATTATCACCACCACTACAACACCACCTAATTACACCGCCACACTACTACAACACCACCACTTACCACACACTACACCACCACAACACCACTCACCACCATCACATAATTACAACACCACAAACACTCAACAACACGCCCCGGCAAATTTACACAAGAGAGGAGAAAGGTGAGATGTTTGATATAGTGTTACCTGCTGTTTGTGTGGAGGAGAGGAGCCACACACACACACACACACACAGACGAGCTACCTGGTGATTACACACTGGTCAGAGATGGCGATGAAGGAGGGAGATAAAGGAGAAGGGAGATAAAGGAGAAGCGAAGAGGAGGACGGCAACAGGAGGGGAAAAATGAGAAGAGGGGGAGAGGAAGAAAAGAGCAGACAGAAGAGACGGAGAGAGAGGGTGAGAAGAGGGAGAAGAGGAAGAGGAAAAATATAGGAGTAAATAGAGGAGAGGGAGAAAAAAAGAGGGGACAAGGAGCGAATAACAAAAGAAGAAGAAGAAGAGGAGGCGGCAGAAGAAGAAGAAGAAGGAGGAGGAGGAGGAGGGAGGTAATGGAGGTAGTTCCAAGCAGAGCGGAGGGCGGGCGGAGTGATACAGCTACCGCCATTATCATTATTATTATTACGTCACGTCCGCTACACACCACTTTCCCTCTCCCTTCTTACATCAGTCACCCCCCTCCCTCTTCTCCACAGACAGACAGACAGACAGACACACCTTAATCTACACCAGGACCTACGAGTGTGATACCTTGATCCACGCGCCATACCTACTACACACTGCAGACAAGTATTTTTGATTGATGGTGGTGAGTACTGATTGGTGGTGGTGGTTGTGGTTGGTGGTGGTTGGTGGTGGTTGTTAGTGGTGACTGGTGGTGATAATTGGTGGTGGTGGTGTTAGTGTTATACGCCCCCCTTCTTTCCCCTCCCACAGGACACCAGGTAAACACAACCTTCATCCCTCCTCCTAATGCCTCGCCTGATGTCTCGCTTGATGCCTCGCCTGATGTCTCGCTTGATGCCTCGCCTGGATGTCTGCCTGATGCATCTCGCTTGATGCCTCGCCTGATGTCTCGCTTGATGCCTCGCCTGATGTCTCGCTTGATGCCTCGCCTGATGCCTCCCTCGCGTTAGGTGTTTCCACCGTTAACCCAAAACAAAACAAATTACCGTGACACTAAAGAACAGTGTGGCCAGGTGTGTACGTGGCTAGGTGTGTACGTGGCCAGGTGTGTGCGTGGCGAGGTGTGTGCGTGGCGAGGTGTAATAATAATAATAAACGGTTTATTAATAGAGTTGCAGCCGGTGGCTGAAAATATACAAACTTACATGTGATTTAGACATAATGATATGCGTTGAATACATTTACAGGGCTGTACAGTACATAAATCAGGAGTTGTTTATTATTTTAACAATAGATGGGATGGTGCTGTTCTTATATCTATCGGTGCGGGCTCTTATGGGCTGAATTTTGTTGTAGTGGCGGACTGTGCGAGGTGGGCGGGGACTGCAGGTGGCAGGAGGTGGTGATGACGAGGATGGTGCAGTAGTCCACTGCCAAACGTGGCCAGGTGTATACGTGGCCAGGTGTGTACGTGGCCAGGTGAGTGTACGTGGCCAGGTGAGTGTACGTGGCCAGGTGAATGTATGTGACCAGGTATGTGTCCGTGGTCATTCAGGTGATGATAGGGCTACCATTGACAGGCTCACCATACACACACACACATCACCACCATAACACCACTCTACCATAACACCACCAACACCACAAACACCACAACACCATCGCCACTCCACCAATTCCCTCTTGCTCTCCGCACCATTAACAACCTACCTCACTCCGTCATAGAGGCGAAGGCCCTAACACCCACCATACGTAAGCATCATCATCAGTCAGTCATCAAGTAAACAAGACAATTGATTTTGTTTTTAATTTATTTCGTTTTTCTTTATTTCCTGATCAATCTTGGTTTCCCCTTTAAACCTAACCTAACTTATCCTATCCTATCCTAACCTATCCCAACTCAATCTATCCTAACCCATCCTAACCTAACCATCCTAACCCAACCCATCCTAACTCCAACCTAATTCCCAACCTTCCCAAACTCCATCCATCCTAACCTAACCTAACCTAATCCATCCCAACCTAACCTCCTTGTTTTTAAACGTCACAACTCATTCTCCCCTCCCTCCTCACTACCTCTTCATCCTTTCTCTCTCCCTCACTTCTTTCTTCCCTCCCTTCTTTCTCCCTCACCCTTCTCTCTCCTCCTTTCCCCCTCATTTTTCCTCCCTCCCTTCCTAGACATTTTAAGTCCCATCGGTGTTTCAGAGGTCACAGTTAACACATCATGCATACAGCTGGTGCGGGAGAGGTGAAGAAAAACAGGAAGGAAGGAAGGAGGAAGGAGGAGGGAGGGAGGGGAGGAGGAGGAGGGAGGGAGGAGGGAGGGAGGGAGGAGGAGGAAAGGAGGGAGGAGGAAAGGAGGAGGAGGAAGGAAGGAAGGAAGGAAGGAAGGAAGAAGGAAGGAAGGAGAGGGAGGGAGGGAGGGGAGGGAGGGAGGGAGGGAGGAAGGGAGGAAGGAGGAAGGAGGGAGGATGGAAGGAAGGAAAGGAGGGAGGAAGGAAGGAAGGAAAAGAGGAAAGAAGGAAGGAAAAGGAAGGAGGGAGGAGGAGGAGGAGGAGGAAGGAAGGAAAGGAGGGAGGATGGAAGGAAGGAAGAAGAGGAAAAAGAAGGAAGGAAGAAGAGGAGGGAGGAGGGAGGAGGGAGGGAGGGAGGAAAGGAAAGGAGGGAGGATGGAAGGAAGGAAAGGAGGAGGATGAAGGAAGGAAGAAGAGGAAAGGAAAGGAAGGAAGGAGGGAGGAGGGAGGAGGGAGGGAGGATGAAGGAAGGAAAGGAGGGAGGATGGAAGGGAGAGGAAGAAGGAAGGAAAGGAAGAAAGGAAGGAGGGAGGGAGGAGGGAGGAGATAGGTTGATAGGGAAGGAAGGAAGAAAGAAAGGAAGAAGGTAGGTAGATAAGGAAGGAAGGAAGATAGGTAAGCAAGGCTGAATGAATGAATGAAGGAAGATAGGTAAGCAAGAATGAATGAATGAATGAATGAATGAATGAAGGATGGAAGGAAGAAGGTAAGTAGATAGGTAAGCAAGGCTGAATGAATGAATGAAGGAAGATAGGTAAGCAAGAATGAATGAATGAATGAATGAATGAAGGAAGGAAGGAAGGAAGGAAGGAAGGAAGGAAGGAAGGAAGGAAGGAAGGCTGCCAACCCTCTCAACACCTGCCTTGACGTGATCAAAACTGACGTGCTGTTCCTCTCTGGGCGCCCCTCTACACGTCAGGCTAATGACAGGTGAGGGAAGGTAAGGTACAATGTAGAAGGAGGAAGAGGAGGTCAAGGAGGAGGTCAAGGAGGAAGAGGAGGAGGGGAGGCCAAGGATACGAGTCAAGGAGGAAGAGGAGGGGAGGCCAAGGATACGAGTCAAGAAGGAGGGGAAAGGTATGGTGTCTCCTGGGTACTGTGTCTCCTAGGTATGGTGTCTCCTGGATTAGTGAGACATCTTATGATCTTTTACATACAACATAAGTGTGTGTGTATGTGTGTGTGTGTGTGTGTGCCTCCACTGTATTGTTTGTCTCACTCTGCTCCCCCTCCCCCGTCCCTCCCCCCCGCCCACACCGCCCGCGGATCATGACACCACCCACGACAAAAAGATAATCAGGCATTATCTCCCTCCCCTCCCTAGTTAATCATCCCCCTCCCCCCCCTCAGGCATTGAAGTGAGGGGGAGGCGAGATGAGGTGTGGGGAGGGGGTAGAGCACTTTCAGTGAGTTAGAACACAGTGAGAATGATGACCACGTGTGGAGGAAGGCGGCAGAACACCAGCCAATAAACACTGCGGTAACATGGGGTAAAGACGCCTGGCTGGTTGTATACTCTCTCTCTCTCTCTCTCTCTCTCTCTCTCTCTCTCTCTCAGAATAGTGTTTGACCTTGTAATCTCCGGCAAGTCAACGTCACTGAAAGGAGGAGGAAGAAGAATAAGAATAAGGAGGAGGAGGAGGAGGGAGGAGGACGAGGAGGAGCCCCCATCTCCACCCCTCCCTCACCCCCATCTTCTACCCCTCCCTCTCCTCACCTCCATCTTCACCCTTCCCTCTCCCTCACCCCCATCCTCTACCTCTCCTCCCCCTCACCCCCCATCTTCTACCCCCCTCCCTCTCCCTTACCCCCATCCTCCCTCTCCCTCACCCCCATCTTCTACCCCCTCCCTCTCCCTCCCCCCATCTTCTACCCCTCCCTCTCCCCATCCTCTACCCCCTCCTCTCCCCTCACCCCCATCTCTACCCCTCCCTCTCCCCTCACCCCCCATCCTCTACCCCTCCTCCCTCACCCCCCCATCTTCTACCCCTCCCCTCTCCCTCTCCCCTCTCCCCCTCACCCCCATCTTCTACCCCTCCTCTCCCTCCCCCATCTTCTACCCCTCCCTCCCTCTTCCTCACCCCCCATCCTCTACCCCTCCCTCCCCCAGTAACAACACCCCACCCCTCCAGACACCACTATCCCCTCCGCTATTTCCTGTAGTTAAACGCTTCTTTTTACATCATCAACAGACAAGAGAAAAAATGGAGGAAAAAACTCACATGGTTGGAGGCGGTGTGGCTGTCCCCCTGAGGTAGAGTGTGGTAGAGGAGTGTGTGTGTGTGTGTTAGTGTGGTCCCCTCAGGTAAAGGGTATTAGTGTGGCCCCAATGGTAGAGTGTGGCTATGGAGTGCGTTAACCTACCCCCTTGAAGTAGAGTGCACTAGTGGAGTGTATTAGAGTATGTTACACCCGTTGCCTGCGGTCAAGAGTGCGTCAGTAAAATGTCGGGTGATGTTTTTTCTTCGTTCATTATTACATAACTATAGGGAGGGACAGAGGACGACTCCCTTACCTCATCGTGTAAACAGTTTCATTTTTTTCTGTTAATTATCTTTTACCTGTTGTGAAAAAAACTATAAACTGTATGATATTACCTGGGGAGGGGGGTGGAGGGGGGAGGTGGAGAGGGGGGAGTGGAGAGAGATGAGGAGAGAATGAGGGGGAGAAGAAGGGAGGGGAAAGAAAGTGAACTGACTTGACGGCTACACCTGTACTACAGAGCAGCCTTCACCACCCCGCCCACTCACCCTGGTCTGAGAGGAACACCCATCCACCAT